TATATGAACATAAGAAAAAAAAAGAAAAAAAGTAGAAGGGGGGGGGGGGGGGGAAGGAAAGTTCTTCCTAGCAGAACTCTTCATTAATGTATCTTTCATTAGCACTCTTCGTTAATGTATCCTTCGTCACCGGACACAGGCTTAACATGGGGTAGTAGCATGACACGGATATATTAGTCTCCCTGTCCCTTAATAACGCTACAATGACACATTTCCCAGACAAATCATGGCTTGAGACATCCTCTATTATACCAGGGTTATGTCCAACTTGATTTACTCATTTTATATTAAGTATTCCTAAAATTGGGTGCTTGTATTAATACCTCAGGAATATGGAGCTCCTTTAACTGGTCTTCAGTAATTTCACTGAGCTGTCGAAATGTCATTGTAAAATCAGCCTTTGTATCTTCCATAAGCTAGTGAAATAAAGATACTTCTCTCAGTGTTTTTAAAGTATGGGGTATCAGTTCAGATGTTTGCCAACAAAATTAGCAAAGCAAACTCACTTTTAGGAGGAAAGCAATCAAATAGTTATCATCCTCATTCTCCCCAAGAAGACCCAATTTTGTTTTGAATAGTTCTGTGAAACTGAAAATAGTCACAAAGTAAAGAAAGTGTTACATAATATAATTTATAGTATTGGGACTAGAAGGTTTGAGTTCTGGAACTGCATACCGGATGTAATAGCGCTCACCATACCCCTCCAAAATCTGGGAAGCTCTGCAAAAACAAAAGAAATGTCACATTCTATGGAGTTAAAATACTACTGTGGGTACAAACCTACTGTACACTAAACAATGAAAACTTCCATCTGATATCTCAGAAACATTGATATTCTGAATCAACTGGGATCTGTAGCGGGGAAAAAGACTGACGGGAAACATTTTAACAGGCTTCAAATACATAAATAGCTGCTGCAAAGAAGAACAATAGAATTATGTATGTTCTTCGTTTTCATACTGAGGAAGAAGTCATGAGTTTAAACCACAGAAAAGAAGATTTATATTAGGAATCTTTACAACAGGATATTAAAATACTACCTCCTTACTTCAGGAGGATGTATGGTCTTCACAAGTAAGCATTTTAAGGAACAAGCTAGACGAACTTAGAATAGAAAACTACAGGCAAAGGTCCTACCTTAGCGAAAGGAGAATGGACCACACAACATCTAGGACCTCTTTCCAGTCATATTTTGCTATTATTTATGACCAATGAAAACCTTTCTCCCCTCCCTCCAACCTTATTCTGGCAAATAATTAATTCAGAATCAATTTCCACTTAGAAAAATAGATTTTAAAGGCTAATCCCTTTCTTTCCTATGCATATGGGGATGAGAGGGTCTCCCATCTCACTAGCTCTTTTAAACATTAAGATATTTTAAGGATTACTTACAGCTGCTTTTGCCTGGGATCCAGTAAAGGTTTTAGAGCTTGTAACAGCTTGCTCAGATTAAACAGCCCAACATTTGCCTGGTTTCCTATTTTATACCTCCTTTCATCATCAGATGTGTTTGGAACAAAATCTGTTTCAAACAAAACATTACTTTTCCACAGCAGAGTAATTACAATAAACAATGTTAAAATATTGAAATGCATTCATTTTTATACTTCCACAGCAAACTAATAAAAGCCCTAAAATTACTAAATATTTAAAAACAGATCACAAGGATACTTATTTACAGTGAATTAATTCAAGATCTATTATTTGCAAATCTAAGGAACACATCCTTCACAGACAATTTCCCATGTGTCACAAGTGACATTTTCCTACTTGAAGATACAAAATAAATTCAGATGTTTAAACAGAAAAAGACCATTTTTACACTAAAACCAGTCTTATTCAATGTTTTTACTACATATAGTGCTACTATTTAGCACACAGACTAAACAAACAACTGTACAATGAGAGTCAGGATTTATAAGTATTTCTGGAAAAGTAACATGTATAAACATGTATTTATTTAAACAGACCACCTAAGCAAGATTTGTTTCAGTTGCACAAGCAAGCTTTATGTATTCACATAAAAATTAGGGCTAACATGTTCCAGTATGCAAATCCATTATTTGGGAGATAATAAGTATCTGCTATGCAAGTTACAGGTATCCACAAGTAAAATATCTACAACAGCAGTCTCTGAATGGCTGCAGTATGAACCCCTTGCTCAGATCAAATGCAGATAAGCTGATCAATGCACACGGCATTGCCCAAGTCCTCAGAACACATTAATAACAAACGGAGCATTAAGGAGGAGACCTGTGACACACCTGTCAGATCTGGTGATTGGTTCAAATCTGAATTTTAACTCTAAAGCATTTCACCCGGTTCTAGCATGTACTGGCTCTGGCTGGGACGGAGTTAATTTTCTTCATAGCAGCCTGTATGACACTGTGTTTTAGACTTGTGACTAAACCAGTGTTGATAACACACCAATGTTTTAGCTATTACTGAGCAGTGCTTGCACAGCATCAAGGCCTTCTCTGTTCTCACTCTGCAACCCCAGCGAGTTAGGCTAGGGGTGGGCAAGGGGCTGGGAGGGGACACGGCTGGGACAGCTGACCCCAACTGACCAAAGGGATATCCCATACCATATAACGTCAGGCTCAGCAGTAAAACCTGGGGGCAGTTTTTCCAAGGCAGTTGTTGCCTGGGGACTGACTGGGCATCAGCCTGGTGGTGGGAGGTGGGGAGTGATTGCCTTTGCATCACTTGTTGGTTGCCCCCTTTTTTTCCCTTCACTTACTCAGCTGTCTTTATCTTGACCCACGTGCTTTTCCTCATCTTTGCTCTTCCAGTTCTCTCCCCCAGCCCGCAGCAGGGGAGAGTAAACGAGTGGCCGGTGGGTCCTTAATTGCTGGCTTGGGTGAACCCACCATATAGAGAAAGATCTAACACCAGAAAAGCCCTGTTTTTTTCAATACAATAGAAACAATATGACATTTATTCTCATGAGATTTCCTTAATTTGAGGCTGCAGTCTCATGAAAACAGATAGCAAGATAACCACTGCTGTTCTGAAGCTTACTCAGATGTAACCTCTCTGACTGAGTCCATACTTTCAAAGAAAGGTTGCCATGACAGGGTAGGTTTGATTTGTTTTCTTCCAACATGTAATTAGCTGCTGTGACTATAAAGCTAGAGCATGATGCATGCAAAGTTACTGTATATCACTTTTGCTTTTGGCTTCTTACAGCAATATGCAATTTTTAGTTTTCTAGATTTCTGTTGTAGCATCTGTTCAATTGATGAGGTTCAACTGGAAACATTCTCATGAAAATGGTTTTAATAGTAATATTTCATTAACAAGACTTTCAGCACTTGAAATGCAGCCTGTATAGTATATCATAACACTGGTCTCTGATACAGTTCTTTTCCTAAAACTCTTCAAACAATACACACGCTTGGGATTTTCCTGCTAATAATGTTAGAAGTTTTCATGCACACAGAAACTACATAAATTAATATAAAGAATTTATTTTAAGTAAAAAAATTATATTTAAAAACAGGTGCTACACTCACTTGGGTCATAGGAGTCCATAAATCCAAATGGACCATAATCTATTGTTATGGACAGTAAACTGAAGTTATCTGTATTGCACACACCTACAATTAAGCAACAAGGAGAAACAAAAGTTACAATGTCATCTGAACTCTGTAGTCTCTAGAAAATTTTCTGTGAAATAGATCGACTGAATCTAGAGCACTTCAGAGCAGCTACCTTTCAGAAATCAGACTCTGGAAAATAAACTAGTCTCTCTTACTCTTGACCTGGCATGCATTTTAAGTATGAAAATGAGAAACTGTTCACGACATTATCTTGCATCTGGTTTCTATACCTAGGTGGCACTGTTTCCTTTTCCTTTCAGTGCTACACAGTACTGAAATAGCATCTTGCAAATTGGTTATTAGCTGCTTCCTTGCAAGTTGACTGGGTGCTGTATTAGTAAGACAACCCTATTTTATTTTTCGTAATATAAATCTGAAACAAAGGTGGACAGTACTGTATCTGATACACTATAAAAGGCCAGGGTTTTATGTAGATGCATCAAATTCAGAGCAATTAAACTTATATATGACATCAATACATGGTCTTTGTACATCAGACTATTACAACAATTCTGAGAATTCTTGCTCCCATAATCTTGCTATTCTTACTCCTGTCAGATACAGTCATGCTTTGAAAGATCAGAAAGTGTTCCTAACACTGTTACGAAAAAAATTGTATATTAATGCATAACAGATACTGCTGTAGGCAAAGACATCAGAAGAACTGAGGAACAAAGAGACAAAAGACAAAGAGACAAAAGCCATCTTTAAGTATAGGACTATGAAGAGTCACTCCTGTAAAGCCAATACCACCCACTGCAGCTTACCATGTGCAAACCCCACAGACATCCACAATGCAATCAGATTTGCAGTCTCTGATACAACCGTAGAGAAAAATTCCTAAAATCAAACACATCTTTTACTTCAAGTCCTCTGAATCAAAAATATGGAATACAATAAATAACATAAACATTTGATTCACTTTAGAAATATGTCATACATTCTATTTGTAAATGTGTATCTGTCTGTCAGGACTTTTCATTCACATTCTAAATGATGTAACTGCACAAGAACCTTATCCAGCAAAGACTATAGTTAAACAAGTACATACAGATGCCCTAAAAGAAATTAAAAAGTCAAAAGAAGAAACAAAGACACTATACATACTAGTATATACTATATATACATTTATACTAGAAAAAGCATAATTCATCACTTCATGACCACTGCTCACTTAAAATCTGAGCAGTAAGAGAACAAAAAATAACTGAAAATGGAAGCTTCCCAATAAACATTTCCATAATGAAAATGGTGAAGAATGTTAATATTTGACTTCGAGAAAAAAAACTTCAAGAAGCAGGTTTTTACTGAAGAGAATTAACAAACTTGCGCTGATAAAACCTGGAAGCTTACTTCAAATTTTAAAACATTTTAAAACTTGAAACTTTGAAAAGCTTTGTATAATTTTTGTTCACTTGTTTGTGGAAAATAAAAATGACTTTTAAAAAAGACTTACCAGATATCTATTTGAATCATTCACGGCTATTGATGGAAAATGTTCCTGGATGATAAAGTCTAGCAATCGTCTGTAATAGGAGAGGCAGAATTCTTTAAACAAAACTGGTACTTTTAGAACTGATCATTCAAAATTCTTGTTTGCAAACAGCTAAATGCTGATCTACGGCTTGCTGCAAACAGTTATTAGAAAACTCGACCTATTTATTCCAATGACTCTTGGATTAAGCCTTTCCAAATGCTTCGAGATAAAACCTAAGGTTCCCGTCATAAATATGGCTGGAGACTGCCATGTAGAGTTAAAATTATTCCCACGTGTTAAACTTCCAGAGCACACCAGGATCTGGTTTTGCATGCAGTAATATCAATTTTTTAGGAAAAAAAAGTTTGCATATCCAAAAAAAAGTATATGATTACAAGGAATAATTATACGTCAGAATTCTCACAAAGAAAATTTTATGGCTGAATTCTTATGGAGAAGGGTTACTTGCCATAGTGACTGGCTATTCCCAAGACAGTGCTGCATAGTCCTACAAGACAGGCTCAGGAAATTGGGACACATGCATTAAAATTTGCAATGCCTGTCAGATGCATATCTTTCTTTACAGATCTAAAGCTTTAAAGTAGAGCGGCAGGCATTTAGAACATTTAGGAGCTCCCTGTAGGACCCTCTTGTGGTCAGAGCCAGCCAGGGCCACTGGCACAGGAAGCTGTAAGCACAACGTACTGGTGGGGTAGGTGACCTGGGCGAGGGTTGGACCTGGGCGAGGGTTGTGCAGCTACGCAAACAAGTATCTGGATTTTACCTTCTAATCAGGCTGTTGGAGGAAATCACTGAACTCTCCTCAAACTGTGATGAATTCATCACAGCACCTAGCAACCTGACCTTTAGAAGGGTGTCCAACCTATTGCCTCTGAACTTTAGCTGGTTGCTCCAGGACATCCTCTTTCAGGACTTTCTCCGAGGAGGAAGCAGACACTCATACTGGCCTTGGCCTTCTCTTGGCCACTCTTTCTGAGGCTCCCTCCAAAACAGGCAGGACGGAGTCATCTATTTTGCATTAGTAGAAGTGATCTTTACATGCTCCTTAAATCCAATGGGTCGCAAATACTTTCACCAAAAAAACCCAAAACAAAATTTAAAATCAGTTCCTTAATTCAGTCTTTTTAGTTTTACAACTAAAACCTGCTGTGAGATTTTAAAAAAAGGAAAGAAAGACAGCACAGAATGATGTGGGAAGTTAAATTGAATTATCAGTTACTACAATGTACAACTGCTGCTATGAGCTCTTGCTCATTTTTAAGCACCCCAGAACAATTTCTATTGCTCCTGGGAAGAAATGACCAACTTCTAAATATTTACAGTAGACCTAAAAATTTGTCATGCTAATTGCTTGACACACAAATTAATATTGCTAAGAGGCTTAAAACTGCAATAATTTCTTACCTAGTATACTTCCCTGGTTCTGCATGTTTCTGGAGAGCATACTTTATACAACATACTTATGCTACTGATTTATTTAGTATTTCTGTTATTTTAGCTTCACAGACAACTATAAGAAATGTAGGAACTTTAAATTTACAAATCTTTCCAAAACAAACAACTCTTCCCTAGTGCTTAGTTACCAGAACTATTTCAGCTATAAAACCTTTCTCATTTTGTAAGATCCAGGCCTTCAAAAACCTCTAGGGGGTGTTACCCTTATGAGGTAAGATCTTTTGTATGCTTGTATAATAATAGCAGGTTACCTTTCTAAACTATACAGTCTCCCTATCCAAATAATTTATGTCTAAATTCCAACTGCATATATGCATTCTAATACATATTTGATTGTTAAGAAAAATAACATCGTTACTATGAAGATTAAATTCAAACCTTTGTAAGTCCAGTTCCCCAGAATGAGCTAAGATTTCCAAGGATCCTATACGAAACCATGATTTGGCAAGACGTAGCACTATTGCACCTTAAATATAGACACATGTGTTTAAATGTAAACAGAGTATCAGGAAAATAAAATAGTTCCATAGTAACAGCTGTCATGTGTTGTTTCTATAGACGCAGAATTTATATATGCATAGTTAAACTGGTATTTTTGTAAGTAAGCTCAACGCATAAGAGATGAATATGTATATTACTTTACTATACATACATTTTAATGATAAAGCTTAATTTGCTATACCAGCAAACACAGGCAAAATTCCAGTACTGCATTAATACTAGAATTACTCCAGAGATGCTAGCAACAAAGAAAGAACCAACATAAATAGGTTTTTCCCCATGCTGTGCCATCCCACTCTTTTTCAGAGCAGGTGTAGATGATGTAGCAATGGCACAGCCACAGTAGCGTTCCCACCGTCCTAGTATTCCTATCGGAACAATAGAAAATTTTCCTACTTTTCAATATAATTTTTGTAATGGGAGGTGACAATAAAAATTATACCCCTACAACACATATGCCACAATCATAGCAGACCAGTTCATAAGGCTTCATTTCTTTAACTAAGATATATTTGAGACTGATTTTCTCAGGACAGGTTTTATATCTTAATAAATGAAATGAAGCCTATTTAGTACTTTTTATTACACATATATGACATATTAAAATTCATTTTTGCAATGGATAATTAAGTTACAGTGTTGCAACATATTATTTTGAAATGTGTTCATTACCTCTTTCTTTCTTAATATTTCCATTGTAAAACTGGTCTCTCCACACATCATCATCACTTACAACTAAGCTGTAACAAACAAGAAATGAACATTAAAAAGTTATCTCAGGAAAAATAATTTACAATGAAGATCAAGTCATATTTTATATAACTTTATTTCTTTCAAAAAAGAAAGATCTTTTTGCTGGCATAGCTTTGTATTTACAAATGACACAGGCAAACAGTAAGCTGAGGCTGACCAAGCTTCACTAGCAAGATGCATTTATTTTGTATTTCTACAATGTTGTCCAATTTCCATTACTTACACTCTTCTTGGGGAGGGGGTTGCATTCAAAAAAAGTACTGCACTCATTTGGAACCTCAGTGACTGATTAGTGTGATGATAACATGAAATAAGTCACAATTTCCATGAGGACAACAGCGAAATTAGAAGGACAGGGAAATTAGGAACCAAATTGTTGCATCATGGAGGTTGCCTTTTACATGAGCCAAAACTGTTGTCTCAGGAACTTCGGGGACAGATCTGGGATCCTTAGTAATCGAGAACTCTTCAAATAGTATCAACACACAAAAAAGGCATAATTTTGATTATACATTATAATTATCCCTTCTTCACTGCCAGGCATACTTGGATTTTTAAAAACAATCTCTTCCTTTCATTTGCCTCTAAAATTCTGCACATCCTATAAATTTCCATGTTTATCCAAATATCAAGATTTGTGAGTGCTTGGAACAACTTTGCTTGCTCTAAAATATTTCATAACTTACATTCATTTTACAAAATAAAATATGTAATTTCGCTGTATTTTCTGTTATATCAGGGAAAAATAAAATTGAATCAATCCTCACAAAATATGCAAGGTGTCATGAATGAGTGGTTAGGTTGCTTAAAGAATCACCTTCAAAGATATTTGCAAAACTGATTTTAATAGGAATTTATAAAAGTGTGATTTAACGAAGTTCAATGGCAAGGTTCACTCTATTACTTATTAAATGAATGAAAGAGAGAGAGAAAGCGAAATTTGAGATAGAAGAAAATACAAGGGGGGTAAAGGAGGCCCTCCTCTTGAGTCACGAGGTTCAGAATGGACCCCCTTGCTTTCTAAGCTCCTTCTCAGAGAGGAGCCTAGGTGCGGCTGGACCCAAACCTAGTTTCAGACTTGGTCAACGGTTGATGTCTAAAGATTATATATGTTTGCACAGTTAAGAGAGAATCACAGGAATTTAACGGTAATTAATCATTGGTTAATTTAGCATTTACAAAGTGATTAAATAGGGTTTACTACAATATTTGAATCGATTCACACACGCACAATAGGCGTAATAAAGGTACCTAGTAACTTATCGTGAATTTAGTGAAATACACACAATATGGATAAATAAAGGTACCTTATAGTGTAGATAGAGATTTTCTTATTCATATTTTCTTCTATCTCAATTTTCCCTTTCTCCCTCTCTCTCTCTCTCTCTCTTCCATTCATTTATCAATAGAGTGAACCTTGCCATTGAACTTTGTTAAACCACACTTTTATAAATTCCTATTAAAATCACTTTTGCAAATATCTTTGACAGTGATTCCTCAAGCAACCTAACCACTCATCTGTGACACAAGAGCATCATATTCCCCTAAGGTTAACACGTAGGAAGCTTTCTCTCCAAAGCAACTGGGATTACACTCACAATCCAGCAGAAGTAACACTTGGTGCTATCTTCTGAAAGAGGTGTTGTCCCCTCAACAGGCACAGATGACTTCTTGTTCAAGAGTCTAGCAGCAGGAAAACTTAGCTCATTGTGGGGGGGTTGGACTCGATTACTTTTAAAGGTCCCTTCCATCCCAAACTATTCTATGATTCTGTAATTCAAAATAGTTGGGTGGCATGCTATTTGAAATTTAATGCAGCTACTTATACTGTTATCTATCAGGTAGTTGAAGACTGCACAGGAGACAGAACCAAACTTTCGTTGGAGGTACACAGAAAAGGACAAGAGGCAAACCTAATATTCCATTCATAAATATGACTGAAGACAGTCACAGAGTTAAAAACTCCCAAGTGTTAAATTTTGAGAGTACACTAGATTCTGGTTTTACATACTTTAGCATCAAAATCTTAGAAAAAATTTAGCTGGACCAAAAATGGGGGGTATGCATGTAAACATAAATATGTACAAAAAATAATGAAAAGGAATTATTTGTCTGAATTCTTACACAGTGCAGTTGCTTGCAACAGTAACTGTGGCTTTGAACCTTAATTATTATTATTATATTCAGTATTTTTGAAGGTATCTAGTAGCTATCTAAACTGAACATTCTCTATTAACTGCAAAGAACAGGCAGTGAATTGTTCCAGAAGGAGGGAAAAAGTATCTAGAAATCAATCTGCTCCTGTTACTGGAGCTGTACTGACACAAGCAACATTAGGAATTTTTTTCAAAAAAAGACCCTTTTGGAAACAATCATATATGATTGTTACATCTGTAGGCGTAAGTACAAAAAGTGCTGACATAAATGAGATGGAAGAAGAAAATCTTAATCCTTCAAGAAGAACAAAAATTTTCAAAAACAGGGAATGAACCCCAGACACTAAGAAAATATTGTGTACATCAGAGCACTAGGGGACAGGAGTCAGAATAATAATGCTACTAAATTTTACTGTTTTGAACAGACCTCTGCCAGAAGGGTTGTTTCTTTTAGACTATGTAACTCTTAGCAGGCCCTCTGCAAAATTCCTGCAGAATACCAGCACTTCTCTTATTACTGACAAAAAAATCCACAGGGGCATCAACATTTGGTTACTTACTAATACAAGTTAATGGACGTGCAACACTTAAGAGCTGGCCAGATAGCTGAGCAGCCACATGAAGATACCTACATTCCCACTATAAAAGTAGTTTTCAAATGGTCTCTGTAGTTGGTAAGTACCATTACTTGAGAGAAGGCAGCAGGAGACCAGATGTACACCCACCCACAGGAAACGGAGCACTGAAATTGCTCTTACACCAGAGAAGCTGGAACAGCACTCACAGAAGGACGGACAGATTATATCCCTCCCTACCCCTGGCTCTAGTTTAAGGGCTGGACTTTACACTCCCAAGTACTCTGCTTGTTTTGCATGAACATCAAGCCCTATGCAAGTAAGACCCACTCTGAAAACTATGCATATTGGCTCACTTTTTTGACCTAATGCATAACACTGCTCGCTGGTAGTCCCAGTATGTGACTAAAATGGCACCATATGAAGTGTTCTTTATCTGGCAGTACAGTCAAAGCTGTAGCACCCCATTGGGAACACAGTAGTTAAAATTAATAGAGCAAACAAACCTGCTGGGTGTTCTGGGATAAGCCATAAGGTTTTTCCCAACACTTCTGCCAAGACTTGACAAGACCTCTGTAAGTACATCCCACCAGCCTCAATATAACAGCTCCCCATCGGGAAGAATACGGATATCAGCTGGGGTTTTTCCAAATGAAGTCTTGCAAACAGTCTGGAGAGCTTGTACAGCAGTTAAGAGAGCCAGGCATTTAACCAATTTGCCAGCAGAGAACTAAAGCACACGAGGTACTCAATAGAATTTGTGCACAGTTAAGGAGTAATTTCATATTGGTTTTGCACTGAACAATTTGTTGAGACGACAGCAAAGAAAGGCTACAACCTTGCCAGATGCTTTCTGGCTGATATTCGGACAGATTTGAAGTTTTGCATTAACAGCCAACAGCAAAGGGTCTCAAGGTGAAGCCAGTGAATAAACCATCAAAAATGTCCTTTACAAACACTGCAGTTCAACAGAGCAAATGGGTTAGAATTAATGACAGAGAGATTTGCAGACACTTTGCAAATACAGACACCTAGCCATGTGGCAGCTCAGTACAGGCCTTTTCTGCAGAACATTTACTTTCTTTAAAGCCTGAAATGCCAGAGTACAGACATGAGGCTACTTGGAACACAAAATGAACTTGACATTTTAAACATAATAATCTGAAAAATTCAGTTTACTTAATTCTGAGAAAATCATCCAAATGAGTGAATGTATTAGTCTTCTTTGGTTCAAACAGAATTAGTTTTAAATTATTTTTTTACGAAATATCTCTCTCTGCTCATGGGTGTTTGCACAAACAAGGAACTGAGAGCAATTACCTACATTTAGTACTACCTCCAATACCCATCTGATTGACAATTTTTCCTACCAATCTTAAAAATTGCAGCTAGGTGACTATGACAATACAGAAATAGCCACTTTCAACATTTTCCTACTTGGCCTGATTCTAGAAAAATTCATCCAAATGCTTAACTTCAGTGTAATAAAAGACTCACTTATTCACTATGTAAAATGTATTAATAGACTCATTGATTATCCACACACTAAAGGTTTTGGGTTTTTTTGGTTTGTTTTTTTTTTTTTACAGGGCAGGAATCTAGTCCTGCTGTTTTTGCAAGTCTTTTGGTGAGCAACAAAGAAGAGAACAATTTTATTTTTTTTAAAGAGAAGAAACTCTTGATTGCAGCATCATAAAAGCTGGAGAGGGGAGTTAGTGTCAGATATAATCACTGAATCTAATTTCCATTTTTTACTTTCTTTACAAAATGAGGCAGATTTCAAATTAAGGTAATTCAGTTAAGACAGTCTTACAAGTGAGCAACTGCTGTTCACCGCAAGACACAGACAGTACACAATACCGTATTTAAACGAAGTAGTACTTTAAAGCATACCAAAGACAAAAGTGAATGGATTAATTGCTGGAGCTCACTATTACTGGAAAGTTTTATCCAAAAATCTATGAAACTGGAGGGATATATTTTGTTCTGATTGCATACATATGAAAAGAAAGATCTATCCTCTTGGAAACTAACGGTCCTGCTTTATTGATGCTCAGTGGAACTCAGCCATAAAATTACCCGTAAATTACAATGCTGTGAAAAAGAAAAGAAAAATACCTAGCAGCTCTGCTTGTAGGAATTCCAAGATAGTGCATGGCCTCACTACACAAAAATTCTCGCACAGAAGAGCGAAGCACAGCTCTTCCATCACCGTTCCTACGGAGAACAGAGAAATAAGGAATAGGTCATAAAATCTAAGCACATTTCTAAAAGAAAACATCCAGTTTTGGTGTACGTAGATTAACTGCAACTTACCTGGAGTATGGGGTCTTTCCTGACCCTTTTAACTGTAGTTCCCACCTCTCACCATGCCTGCAAAAATACCATTAGCATTTCTAACAGTACACCTCGGGCTATGCATTAATCAGCTAAATAGAATACAGAGTTGAATCAGTCACTTAAAAAAATGTCACACCTGTTTGTATATACTCCGACCAAGTGGGCTCTTCCATCACCCAGCTGACCCGCCCAGCTACCAAACTGACAAAAGATGAAAATCAAGTTATTTTCTTCTATCATTTATAGCAGTTACACTTGAAACAGTACAAATTACATGTAGGTTCTCTGTGATCTACACAACATAATGACACATTTGCTCAGGTAGTCATTAAGATATTGCTCCCTAAAGCTGTATTTCCACACTCACACTAATAATGAATCAGAAAACCACAGAAAAAGAATAATGCCAGTAATCCCCATTTTTTTTTCTACCTTCCAGCTATGACGTACAGCTACAGCCCTGTCTCTTTTGTATAATGAGCCTTTAAACCGACACAGCTTGTAATTTTTTTTTAATTGGAAATTACAAATCAAATTCTACCATTTTTTTCAATAAATAATCTTACCCATTTCAATGCAACTTAACTCTTAGCAATCACAGTATTGCAGTGAGGCTCTGTCCTTCTTCACTCCTCTGAGCTGATAATACCTGTCGTGAATCAGAGCTTGTCAGGCTGCAGGGGTGCTAAGCAGACTCCGCAGCTAACGGAAGTTAAAAGGATAATTTGCTTCTGGCATAAACAGAAGCACAGAAAAGAGACACGATATCGTGAAAAAATATAGTTCTCTTTCATCTGCAGTCCCTTATGAAGAAAAAATCTGCAATCAAAATGTTCATAGGTATTCATGTACTTACAGGCATATACTCATATACTTACAGGTATTATCAAGGTATAATTCACATGAAACGACCTACGTAATTCCACCTGGAAGAACGAGCGCTGTAGTTACCTGATGACCTCCATACCTATGGGCCAATGGAACAGACCCAAGTATCACTTTCCCACCACTGACGAACTGAAGAAAATCAGATGTTCCTTTGACAGATATATCAAGATCCAAAATATTTTCAAGAACCTCCTGGTGAAAAAAATAATACAGATGGTACTTGAATATGATCAAATTTTCAGTGGTAATGAATATGTTTTCTCTACAGATTTTGTTATTAAAAGACATCTCACAATATGTTTTAAATGTTCTATTTGTTTAAAGCATATATTGATAAGATGCTTTCACAATAAATAGCATATGAATATTAAAATGTATTTTAGTACATGTATTAACAATCTCTACTAATTAGAAAGGAACAAAAAAATAATAGCTAACCTTTGAAACAGCTACAAGACGAACTCTAGATTTAAAAGGGGTAGGATAGACAACTGAAAAAATGCAGTTTCTCACATTACGGACGTAATTTTCCTGGATCACATCAATTGGAAACTGATCTGTAAACATGAAACAGACAAGAAATTAAAAAAAACCCAAACAATCATATTATTCTTAATACCTTTCCTCTTGAATTCAATCAAAATATTTCAGAAACAATTAAAACCTGACTCTTTACCACAATGTATATTAAACCTGCATGAAAAGCAAGCCCAAATAAGTTCAGGATTTTATTCTCTTTGGGATTTTTTAAAAGAAGGATTGAATTCTGCAGTTAAAGAAACTGGCACGGCATGCTAGTTTTGAGATCTAAAACATATTAAGCGTAGACTCAATTAACTGTGATTAGAACAGTCTCAGGACAGTTTTATATTGCACTCAGTGATATAAAACCCTAAAAGATATTTGCATGAGACAGAAAAGTTCAGCTGCCCCCACAGCTGAATGATGTAGTGCAACAGATAAAGTCACTGTGCACCAGTAACTGTGGCACACAGTCCACGTGCAGCGATGATCACCAAGTAACCTAAGAAACCAGCTTGAAGTCTTCTCTGAGTAATGTGAACAGCAAACGAAAGGGTCGGCAGATGCAGTTCTTGCTGTAGCATAACATATGCACTCAAAAGATGCGCTTCATTCTTCCTTCAGACCTACTCTGCGCCCTGATCCATGGTAACAGAGGACAAACATTGTTTTAAAACACTGGACTGTGCGTTTTAACATCTTTATGGATTTTTGCTTGCAACAATCTTACGATTCCATGTTAATTATAAAATCCCAGTACCTCATAGTCACTGTGTTGTAAAAATTGTAAGTTAGTTAGCCTCTCTGGAGACTTGCTGTTAGCCATGTTTCTCAATACCTCTAACGACACATCCTGTTATAGCCAGCTGCCACAAGATCTATCACTGATTATTCTTTCTTAACGCTCACAAGTAACTGTAGCCCTCGAAGAAATTATTTCTGTAATGTTATCATATAAATTATCTTTATTATTACAGGCAATTCTGTATGCCCGAGAGCTATACAGCTTTGTGTACTTCAAGTCAGGCGTCAGGCTATGAATTTTGCATTAATGCATAATTGGGACTTCTGAGTCTCTCCATTACGATAAATTGCCTATATATATATGTATGTATAAGCTCCTTGTGGCCAATCTAGCTTTAATTTTAAAAGTAGTAAGTATTCAGCTGTGTATGCAAGGTCTTCACTTAGTTACTGCTTTAGCGGCTGCTACAACCCCCCAGGCAGAAGCGGCGGGCAGCGCCGGGTGTACGGAGGCGCGGGGGGAGGGCAGGTTGTACCTAGGAGGCTTTCGGC